CCTGGACCCCAAGTATTGTGAATCAGGAAAGAAAAAAGAATTTATTAAGTGCCTACTAAGCGCCAGGAACCATGCTAAGCATTTTATTCGTGGTATCCCAGTTGATCCTCATAACAACCCTGTAAGATACATGTTATTATACGCATTTTACATCTGAGAAAACTGAGATGGATAGAGGTTAATATATTTGCTCAAGGTCATACATATAAGAAGTTTTTGAGGTTGGATTTGAACTCAGATCTTCCAAGCCCAGTCCTCTGTTACCTAATCAGCTTACAAGGCTAGCCATAATGTGTGATGTCTACTCTTTTCCCGTAGTACTACACACTACATCACCTTTCAATTACATGTTCTTGTCTCTACTTTCAGTCACTCTTTCTCTTACTTTCTAAAACCTTATACACCCCTAACCCCACCCCATCCAGAGATGTCTCTCCCACCTAGAGGAAAAAGATCCTAGAAACTCACCTCTGTTCAGATGTGAAGGATTTGGCATTTACTTCTTCCAGAGGCATTTATGGTTTTATGAGAAAACTATAGGGAGGACATCAGAACATAGAATGTTAGGCTTGGAGGAGAGATTTAGGGTTTTCCTAGTGCAAGGGTTCTTAGTTTGAGGTCCACAGACCTCCAAAGATCTTTGGACAGATTTCAGGGGGTCTGTGTATTTTTTTTTTACTCGTTTGATGCCACATTTCAATATAGTTGGTTTCTTTTATAATTCTATGTATTTTATCTTAGGATTTTAAAAGCACATTCCGAGAATATATCTTTTACCATACTGCCAAATGGGGCTGTGACACAAAGAAGGTTAAGAATGCCCATTTAGGCCAACTCTTCATTGCGTAGATGGGGAAACTGAGGACCAGAGAGGTTTAGTAACTTTCCCAAGGTCCCACAGTTGATAAATGATATGACTAGGACTCAAAACCAGGTTTTCTGACTTAAGCACAGGGCTCAGATCCCCATTTCCAAGATGAACAAAGGAATGAAATATACATTTCAACACTTAAGTGACAGCAGTTTTGAGCAGGTGGTCTCTTTCTAGGTATTCTTCAAGTAAATCATTTGGTCAACCCTTTCTTGAATTAGGTATATTTTTCTTCTGTTGGTTTTGTATCAACATGTACTGATCATTTGTGGCAAATTTGAGCATTTTCCTAATTTGCTCATTGATCCTATTCTATTTGACATCTCAGGACACTTTGTGTAGACCAGATCAATTCTTATAGAGACTGAGATTTGGGGTTCTTAGATTAATGTCTTCCTCTGACTCTGGTATGACTCACATTTTTATCATGAGAAGTCATCATCACCTCTGGCAATGAGACAAATAAAATGAGTCCTTAGTTTTTATATCTGTTCTCATCTTGGCAAGAGATGCCACCCATGAAACTGAAAACCAAGCAATGCCAGAATCTTTCATCCTAGGATATCCCTCCTAAAAGAGCATTTCTATTAATCAACTCTTGCTGCCTTGGTTGGATCCTGGCAGAAGGCTTTTGGGTTTCTTGCCAATGTATTCACTTTTAGCCAGAAGTAGAGGAAGTGCTGATTATGATACCAGAAGGTCCAAACCTAGGAATAAAACTGCACAAGACCTGCTCTTACACTTAACCTTTTGAAGAAAGTAGTATAGGGAGAAAAAACTCTGACTCTTGAGTCTAAGTATCTGGATTCAGATGCTACTTTTGATACTTACTAAGTGACTAGAGGCAGGTCACTTAATACTTCCAAATCTCTTTTCCCTCATCTATTAAATAGGAATTTGGAATAGTCTTTTAGGTCCCTTCCAGTCTAAATCTGTGATCCTATGATCTGTCAGGGAGAGAATTTATCATTCAATGGTGACATATCGGGAGCTAAGTTGTGTAACATAGACTGCAGAGCTTGGAGACAGGAAGACCTGAGTTCAAATCCTGTATCAGACACTAGCTTTGTGACCCTGGGCAAGTCACTCAGCCTCTCTCACACTAAGAGTTAGCTTTAAATCTATGGTCTATGACTCTGATTCTCCTGAAGAGAACATTTCTCTGCTAATTAATTAAAGAAGACAAAACTGACTCTTGGTTCTGGGCATCTTTGGTGTTTATAAGTAGAAAAAAGAGTTGATAAACTGGTTTTTAATTTGGGAAGCTATATTTCCCCCCACCCTGTAGCTTTAATATCATGTTGTTGTTTTCAGTTATTTCATTCATGTCTGACTCTTCACGACTCCATTTGGGGTTTTCTCGGCAAAGATGCTGGAATGGTTTGCCATTTCCTTCTTTAGCTCATTTCACACATGAGGAAACTGAGGCAAACAGGGTCAAGTGACTTATTCAGGGTCACATAGCTAGTAAGTGTCTGAGGCCACAGCTTAACTCAGGAAGATGAGTCTTCCTGGTTTCAAGTCTAGTGCTCTATCCTCTGTGCCGCCTAGCTGTCCTTGATTTTATATGGCTATCCTGTAATCAAGTCATTGATTAGCTAAATGTTTATTGGGTACCTTATTTCATTGAGGCATGATGCTGGAGCCCTAGGGTATAGAGAAAGGCAATTTAGTTCCTGCCTATAAAGGAGTATACAGTCTCATTGGGATGGCAAGGCTGCCACTGTACATAAGAAAGTTAAGTTAACAATCAGTCAAATCAAGATGAATGGCACAGAATATATTAACAACAACAAGAGCTAACATTCATGAGTTTACAGGAGGACCTCTCTGCCTGCACATGGATGCATCACAAGAAGGATGACTTATTTTATTTCACATTAAGAAAAGAAATGCCTTGCTCTCCATTGAGGAAATATTGACTGCATTGACTCCATCAAGATAATCCTGTCAGAAGACAAGAATGAAGAGTGAGGATTTATGAAGCCTGAATATAGTGTGCTATATGCTGAATGATAGAGAAGCACTCACAGTCTTTCACTAAGGAGCTTGCAGGCTTAGGTTTTGTACTGAATCTACATGAGTCCTTCAGAAGGAAGGCTGAAATGATGGAACAAAGAAGGGTCGCACAGTAGCAGTGATGGTAAAACCCGGCCTGCAACTGACAAGACCCACTGCACTTATTAGGAAAGTGTCCCTTAGTCAATAAAAGCAGAGAAAAATCCTTTCTCTGTGTGTCACACAACAGAGGAGATGATAACTGGAGAGGCATTTTAGTGTGGAGAAAGAACACTGGACTTGAGAATCAGGAAGACCTTGATTAAAATCCTGTCTCTATCACTCTCTGTGTAACCATTGGCAAGTCGCTTCACCTATTTTCTCATCTGTTAATGTGGCTAATAATACCACAAGATGTATGTCACAAGTTTGTTGTGAGGCTTAAGTGACATAAAGCTCCTCATAAACAACTACTATACAAATGTCAGCTCTTGCTATTATGGCTTTGCTTCAGCAAAAGCCTGCTCAGATTCTCTCAATGACTCATCTCTCAGCGCAAGATGGGACATTATCAAAATCTACAGGGAGACCTTCCAGACTGTGGAACAATCATTACTGTAGAAATCATTACTAATAGCAGCTGACGAATCCCACCGCAATAGCGATTTCAGTGAAAAGGTTTCTTTCTGGAATAGCATGATGGCAGTCCTTTCTGGGGACAAAAGGGTTGAACTAGAAAACTTTGCAGAGTCTTTTCCTGCCCTAATGATTCTAAAACCTCTAGATAACAGCAGAAGGAATAAATAGAAGTGACATGTATTTCTTTTTGCTTTGGGAACATGTTTTCTCTAAGAATGGAAGTCATCATTGTGTGTGGACAACTGGGTAGTTTTAAAGTGATGGACATGAAACTCCCATCTCCTCCCACCCTTGATTGTTTGCATAGTGTATCTTGCAGTTTGCTCATTCTCATTCTTCCATTTTCCCTCTATCATTCCTTCTTCCCTCCCTCCCCCAGCCTTGTGTCTGGTGAAGCAAAATGTATTCCTGGATCAGCATGTGCCAACAATCATAGCCTTGCCTGACTTGGAGCTCTTTTTTCCTGCCAATTCTTTAAATTTGTAGTTTTTGTGAACATAAGTATAGGATTGGAAGAGCAACCCCAATACAGAATAAGTACAAGATTTTGTGCATCATAGTTTAGCTTTCTTCAGGAAACCCATTGATCATTTAAAAAAATAACAGGTTCAAATTAACTTGGGATCCTCTCTCTGAGTGCCTTTGTTTTTAAGAGGTTACTCTGTGTGTGTGTGTGTGTGTGTGTGTGTGTGTGTGTGTAGAGAGAGATAGAGACAGACACACAGAGGCAGAGAGACAGAGACTCGAAAATTTCTCCAAAAATAAAAAACGAAAAGGCATGAAAGAAAAATGAAACATTAATTAACCTTACCAAGAACCATGGATTCTACTTTTAGCTCTTCCCATTACATGGGTCTACCAAAGACCTTCCATAGTGCATTCAAATTACTAGTTTGTAGGGAAAAAGGACCTCTTTAAAAGATTATGTTTCCTTTCCAGAAGGCTGCTTGAGGCTCATCATCCTTCCTGGATACCAGGATTTTAGCAGAAAGCTCAGAGCTCTTTCTAAAGCAACTACATACTTGGAAAAGAGATTAGTATAGTAATATAGTTCTTGTAGGTTCTAGGGGAAACACACATTGGAAGAAATTACTGTGCAATTACAGACTAAAACAATAGAGGAAAGAAATTGCTAATTTTTCTCAGGGGATTCTGAATCTAGGGAATGCAATAATGTTAGCCCTGGGTGAATAATCTCTCCGATGGGTAGCCCAAATGTGAAAAGACAAATATTTATCCCAGATAAGGCCCTATATGCAGTCCTTATAAACTAAGGGTGGGAGATGGAGGGGAGAATAGCGTTATCCTAACTCTAGCTTGCACTGGCAAGTTGTGTCTCCCAGCATTAGGCTAACTTTATCTCCTCCTCAGGAATCTAGGGTAACCCAGGGGGATATGTAGTATTCTCATTAATGCTGAAAGTTTGAGCTCCCATTCCAATGTATTCTCCCCCAAATTATTTTTCAGTGTTCATCACACTAATGCCATTTAACTAGTTAACATCAATTAGCTTTTACAAAGAGATTTTTACTGAGAAGATATGACAGAAACTGAAGTCCATTTTCCCTCAATACCTTGGGGCACATTCTGCCCTCTATCACTTGGGGGCATCTCCAGGAGAGATTGGGATCAACTGTTAGGATTGCTTCAGGCCAAGCATTCTGTTTGTACTCATAGAGACTGAACTGCCATTGGCCCGTGCAACATTTTTTGTTGTGGTTCAATCCTTTAGTCATGTCTGATTCTTCAGGACCCCATGGACCATAACATGCAGGCCCTTCTATCCTCCACTATCTCTTGAAGTCTGTCAAAGTTCATGTTCACTGTTTTCATCTATCCATCTCATTATCTGCCATATCCTTTTCCTCTGCCTTGAATCTTGCTCAGCATCAGGGGCTTTTCCATTGAGTCTCATCTTCTCATTACGTGGCCAAAGTTTTCAAGCTTCAGCTTTATTATTTGTCCTTCTAGTGAAGAGCCTGAATTAATTTGTTTAAGTGTTGACTGACTTAAAATCCCCCTCCCCCTTATTCATCCACAGCTGAGGTTCCATTCAGTTTTGGCCCAAACACTTCATGAGTACTGGAGCTACATGTAGTTGTCTTCCATTCTTCCCCAGTAGTGTGTGGGACACCTTCCAATCTGAAGGGCTCATTTTCCAATGTCATCTCTTTTATCATTTTAGTGCTGTCTATGGGAATTTTCTTGGCAAAGATACTGGAGCAGTTTGTCATTTCCTTCTCCAGGGAATCATCTTCTGTCAGAATTCTCCACTATGACCTTTCCATCTTGATTAATCTTGTACAGCATAGCTCAAAGTTTCATTGAACTATGTAAGTTCCTCTGCCAGGACAAGGCAGTGAAGGGCGAGTAGAAGGAATACAACATTACAGTGATTAAGAATTTGTTAATGACTACTGATCATTTGTCATTGGCTTTTGTTTTTATTTCTATTTTCTACTGTTAAACAAATATATCACAGACTTTTACTCAAAAAAACCCCTATTATTTAAAAACATGTATCAAGCCTACTCCCCAACACATACATAGAACAACTGTTTGCTGAGTATGGTCCCTGACAATATGCTGGGTTCTTTGGGGCTGCTTTATACTAGGCAAGACCCTTGTGCTTAAAAAGCCTATAATCTTCCATGTATTTTCTCTTTTCATACTCTATATAACATTCAACATGCACTAAATCCAGGGATCCTGTCTTTTGCTTCTTCAGGAACACTCAGTGCTGGGCATATAGTTGATATTCAATAAATCCTTTAAAGATTGATCCCTTCAGTTTTACTTTTCAGATTCTAATGCTAGCATTTTCCTTTCCTTATTTTTCCAAGCTATTTGGTATTTGAAGCTATGTTTTTATTGCTTTAGGGAACTCCCAACAAGGAAACTCTCTCTACTAGCAGATCAGCAATTGCCCTGCAAATTATAGTTTTATCAGAGAGTTGCCTGAGGTAATGAGAGATTAAATCATTTGCCCAGGGTAACCTAGCCAGTATGTGTCACAGGCAAGACTTGAACCAGGGTCTCCTTGAGTGTGAAGCTATTTTTTCATCTACCAGGCTATGCTGCCTCTCTAGTACTTCCCTCAAGTATTGTTAGATTTGATTTTTGAAAAGTTTACTCCAGATTGGCAGCCTGGATAAGTAAGTATAATCCCATATTGCTGCTGATTCATTGCTGAGTGATTTGACTCCTGTCTCCATAGGTCTATGTTCCCCATTCATCCAACTTCTTTTTGCCTCTGATCCTCCCATTTCCTATTTTCAAAGTTCTCTCTTCTTTTCCATCTTGTTTACTGTCATATCAAGTAAAATCTCTTATGTGTATGTAATAGGTTTCTGGTGCAAACACAATACTTTGGATGGTGTCTGTCCATGTGGAGAGGTTGGGAGCCTGCTTCTGGGAAAGCCTTGGTGACTTGTAATGGAAGAGACTATACAGCATGTGCAGACATGGTTCCCATTTTCCAACCACTTGGTTGAGAGGATTATTTTTCAACACGATGAGTAGCGAAAACTTGGGATATTTTCAAAAAACTGCTGGCTCATATTATCTGATTTGGTAACTCCTTCACTCGTGATGAGAGACTCTATAAGAGGAGAGACCTTCAGGCCTTTCAGGTCATATGCCCTGAAAAATGGGCTTTGGCCATTGGCCTGTGCTTTTGTTCTTTTTTTTTTCTTCTTATAGGTGAAGAAAGTAGAGTCTTTGACTTGTGAGTTTCAGAAGAGTGAATCAGAGGAATAAAGGACTTAGTGTCTAGACTGGATTTTATAGCCAGTCCAGCTTCAATGATCCAAGGATCAAGGTGTGACTTTCAGGAGTGATTTACTAGACCCAGGCCAGTGGAATCTGAGAACATTCATCTGGCATTGCACCTCATCGTAGTAGGAACAGTGCTAAATACAAACTGAGCTAAGTATTCTGAGCCTATTCCTCAAGAGAGTGATGTAGCACAAGTGAGAGTACTCCCCTAAGAACTAGGGGGTAATGTTCACTCTGTTTCCTTACTATATCTTGAAAGTAAACATCCTTTTGTGAAAACTATTTGATGTTAAGTTGTTAAATGGAAGTGGGACAAAAGTTCCTGGAACCTAATAATGAGTCAGGGAATACAGTCTAGTACAGACACTCCCAGTATCCCTCAGGGTATCTTAGAACCCTGATGTAGGAGGGTGAGAGTTGAGGCAAACTTTCTGTATCAGGATGCTCCAGGAACCCATAGTTTGTGGTGTCTTGACCTCTTTCTATTATGCCTCAGTATACCTAATCTTGGAAAATTACAATCTATATCTCACCATTGTCAAGTACTGTTCAGAGGACATGAACTTCAAAAGTGACTCTTCTGTCACTGAAGAAACCACATATTAGCCCAAACCCACGTAGAAAACTTGGAGGTAGCCCAACCCACTAATAACTTGGTCATTTTCTCCCTTAGCCCTCTTACTGCCTCATCACTCAGAACTTTCATGTTTTAGTTTATAATACCACTAAAGTGAGCAGGTAGCCTGTATGAATCACATAGGCTATGTGAATAACTTGGGGGTTTATGTATTCCTGCAGTGACAACACCTGCTTATTTTTTCCAATCTCTGCTGGCACTCAGCTTTCTACTTTTAGACCCTATTAAGTCAACACTCTGCACTAAACAATTTTCTCAAATTGAACTGGCCCTTTTGATAAACCTGGCAGTTCTTCTTCAGTGTAAACCTCAAGAGTCAGAAAATGTTTCCTAACTCAAACAGACAGGGAGCAAAAAGCTCTTTTATCTTCTCTTCACTCAGTGTGCAGTGTAGGCATTCAACACCCAACGATGGAGTCCAGGGTGGGGCAGAAGTGTTCCAGATGCCGTGAGGATTTCCTTACATTCGAGTGCTGAGGAAGAGAAAATTGCTTCAGGGAGAGAAAAGCATTCATTCTCAATGTCAGCTGAATCTCAGAATGCACCAGACTGCAGCATGTCTGAGAGGGCTTAGGTGATTTTCTCCCACTACTGCAAAGAATGCTCAGTCAACAGTGTCAATGTTGATTCATGTAGCCCACAACACTCCATAGTGAGACCTAAACCAGATTAAAGTGTGATTGGGAAATATTTAGGAAAATAAATAAAAATACAATAAAACATAGGTAATATTAACATGTGGTTTTTCATATCAATATGTGACCCACAGGGATTCTTTTGTATCATTTAGTTCAAGGGTGGGGAACCCGCATCCTCAAAGCCACATGTGGCCCTCCAGGTCCTCAAGTGTGGCCCTTTGACTGAATCCAAACTTCAAGAACAAATCCCCTTTAATAAAAGGATTTTTTCTATAAAACTTGGACTCAATCAGAAGGCCATATGTGGCCTTGAGGCCACAGATTCCCCACCCCTGGTTTAGTCCTTCCCAATTTCTATTTTGGTTTGACACCACTGCTTTTTGTGGTGGTTGTAATTGTCCTCTCTACAGGTGAATCTTTTTCTTTTTTTGCTGATCCACTGAAAGGGAGTTAATTCTATCAGCCACCCAGGGTATTATTTGGTGATATTTCCTTCTTTCCAGACTTGGAAAATCGTCCATCCCCAGAATTCTTCCACCTTGTATGAGTGAACAACTTCCTCACAGAGAACTTTTCAAGGGGGTTGTCAGTGAATCAGGAAGGCAGTCAGGGGACTCTATTCTGCTGTCAAGATGCCACTCAACTTCTGCTACCCCTGTCCATCAACAAACATTTATTAACAGTATACTAGGTACTAGGGAAACATATCCCAAAAGGAAATAATCTCTGCCCTCAAGGAGCTTTTATTTTATAGGGGGAGATAACACCTATACATATAAGTGCAGTAAACACTAAATATCATAAGCATACATAAAACTCGTGATCACTACAATGGGCAGTATTTTTTCCACTCATGTACTCCCATAGTGATAACTGACATTCCATTTTGCTTGCCACTCATACTATTTTGTAAAGTCTTAACTTTTCTTGGGTAGTGGGATGGGGATAAAGTTGGGGGGAAGGGTTGGCTTCTGATGAGGTTGAGGGGTAAGGTTTTGCTAAAGAAACTCTACTTCCTCATTCCTTATGGCCCACAGAGTCGGTAACTTTCTGACTCAGTTACCAGTCTTCTTTGAACCAACCCTTCCACCCCATACCTCCCCTCCTCCCATTATAGAGACCAAGAGATAACTCATACTTAGGTCAAACATGCCCTTTAGCAAGTGCCAGAGTCCATTCAGCAAAAATATACATGCTTGCCTATATAGAAAATGTTCCAATGTAACCCTCTCCCTGCCATGTATTTATATGATTTCCCCAACTAGACTATGAATTCCTGAAAGGCCTGAAGGGTATTTATAACCCCACAGACTTTTGTTTTGTTTTTGTCTTTGATTTTGTCTCAGTTTCTTAAAGACTTGGACTCTCATTTTTAATCTTTTGAACCCCAGTGCCAATCACTGTGCTTTATATATTCTATTCACTTCACTAAACAATTTTTAAGCACCTAGTAGGTACAAAGAATTGAACTAAGCACTAGAGTTACAAAACCTACAATGATTTAAGCTCTGCCCCTAAGGAATTTGCTATGTATTTGGAGGAAAGAATAAATGCATGGATTAGAAAATGAGAAGTACATGCAAGTACTTTTGGTGGAGTTGTAGAGAGTACTCACAACTGTAAGTGGATAGGGAAAGGTGTCATGAAGGAGGTGACACAAGCTAAAGGAACTAGGGATTTCAAGAGGAGAGGTGACAAGGGAGACCATTCCAGGAATGGGGAATAGCTTGTGAAGGTACAGATGTGACAGATGAAATGTCATATACAATGAATAGAAATCAGGGCTGTTTGGTTAGAACGTGGTCTATGTAAAGGGGACTACTATGAAATCAGACTGGGGAGATATATTGAAGCCAGATTGTGAAGGACATTAAATGCCAAACGGTAGAGTTTGAATTTTATCCTAGAGACAAAAGGGAGGCACTAAAACTTCTCAAACAGGGAAGTGACATTGTGAGCAATTTGGCAGCTATATGGAGGAGAGATTGTAGAGAAAAGGGACCTGATGCAGAGTCCTTTTAGGAGGCTATTGCCACAGTCTTGGTGAGAGGTAATGAGGGCCTGAACTAAAGTAGAGACCATGTTCACAGAGGGAAGAGGAGAGATGTGAGATATCTTTTGGAGGTAGAATAAACCAGACTTGTCAATTGATTTGGGATGGGGTAAGGGCAGTGAGGGAGAGTGAAGAAGCTAGGGTTACTCAAATTGTGAACTTGAGTAGCTAAAAGGATGGTGTTCTCAATGAAAATAGGGAAGTTGGGTTAGGTTTCAAGGGGAACGACGATGAGCTATGGTTTTGATCTATATCGAGTATTCAGGTGGATATGTCCAGCAGAAAATTGGTAATATGAGATTGGAATTCAGAAGATAATTGAAGCTGGGTATGTTATTTGCAGAGTCATCTACATAGAGATGATAATTGGGGTCTTGGGAACTACTGAGATCAGAGAAGAAGAGAGAAAAGGGCTCAAGATAGATTCCCTGAGATATAAGTGGCATAGTGGATAAAAGTGGTAGATTTGGAGTCAGGGAGACCTGTGTTCAAATCCTACCTCAGGTAATAACTACTGTGTCGTCCTGAGTGTACCTTTTTCTCATCAATTGGAGCAAAGGTGGAAAGGCAGGGATGGTGTTGAATATAGTGGATATAGCACTGGACTTGGAATCAGAAAGACTCATGTTCATGAGTTCAAATCTGGCCTCAGACACTTCCTAGGTATGTGACCCTGTGGTCAAGACACTTAACCCTGTTTGCCTCAGTTCGTCGTCTGTCAAAGAGATGGAAAAGGAAATGGCAAACCACTTCAATATTTCTCCCAAGAAAACCCCAAATGGGGTCATGAAGAATCAGATATGACTGAAAAGTGACTGAACAACAACAACAAAAATTTGAGAGGTCAAATTAGGAAAAAGCAGAAGTTCACAATGGATGACCTTAATTTTCTTGGTAAAGTATGAAGTAAGGTCCCTTGCTATGAATAAAGAGTTGGGAGGAGATCTGTAGTGGGTCTGAGGAGAAACAAGACAGTTTGAAACAGATGTTGTTGGATTTGTGATAGGGAGTCAGGGAAGAATAAAAGAACAATATTGAGGGTCCACTTGAAATTAGACATCATTAATTTCTAGAGGATCCAGGTAGCATGGTTGTTTGACTTTTTCCAGTGACATTTAACACCACAAAAGTTAAAATGGAGAAGGTTAATGCGGGAAATAGGTCAGAACTGGGGCTTGGAAAAGGATGAGTGATCATAAGTCAAAAGGATAAGGTATCTGAGGGTAGAGGACAGTGAAAAGTTGAACTGGATAAGGATAGCATCAAAATTACAAAGGGAAGAAAGTAAGACTGAAACAGAGGTGATAGACTAGGAATGATCTGAGGGGTAGAGTGGAGGTTTCAATGAGAATGAAGAATAGGCATTGAATGAAGAAAGAGTAGAGATGAAGAGAAGGGAAAGACGGAAAAACAAGAAGACAAAAGGACAGGAGGGAGAAGGAAATAATCAAAGGAATTTCATACTTTTGAACTGGGGAGGAGTAATATCTGCAGGTGATGATGATATCGTGGATATGTCCCTCCCTGTGTGTGCCTGTGGTGCAGTGAAGGTGCTGATCATAGGAGTTGAGGTGGTTGACAAAGTAAAAGCCAGAACATTTGAAGGAATATTATTGATGTGTGTATTGAAATTCTCAAGTAAAAAGACATGGTTGGTGTAGAGAGAAAAACTATGAGCCAAGTATTGAACTTTTGTTTTTTGTTTTTTTAGTGAAGCAATGGTGTTAAGTGACTTGCCCAGAGTCACACAGCTAGTAAGTGTCAAGTATCTGAGGACAGATTTGAACTCAGGTCCTCCTGACTCCAAGGCTGGAGCTCTATCCACTTGCCACCTAGCTGCCCCCAAGTATTGAACTTCTTAAGAAAGAATGGAGAGTAATTTGGGGACCATTGCTGATTTCCACCAGGATTTTGAGAGACTAATATAGCTGGATAGAGTGAAACTCAAAAAAGAAGAGGTAGCTGAATGATGATAGTGATAAGAGAAGGATCTCAAATTACTAGTGAAAAGACACCTATTGCAAAGTTGCAGGATATAAAATAAACCCACATAAATCATCAGCATTTCTATATATCACCAACAAATCCCAACAGCAAGAGATAGAAAGAGAAATTCCATTTAAATAACTGTTGACAATACAATATTTGGGAGTCCACCTGCCAGGACAAACCCAGGAACTATATGAACACAATTACAAAACACATTTCATACAAATAAAGTCAGATCTAAACAATTGGGAAAATATCAATTGCTCAAGGGTAGGCCAAGCTAATATAATAAAAATGACAATTCTACCTCAATTAATTTACTTATTCAATGTCATACCAATCAGACTACCAAAAATTACTCTATAGAAATAGAAAAAAAAAAATAAAATTCATCTGGAAGAACAAAAGGTCCAGAATATAAGGGAATTAATGAAAAAAATGCAAAGGAAGGTGGCCTAGCTGTACCAGATCTCAAACTATATTATAAAGCAACAATCATCAAAACTATTTGGTACCGGCTAAGAAATAGAGTGGTGGAATAGGTTAGGTACACAAGGCACAGTAATAAATGACTGTAGTAATCTACTGTTTGATAACCCGAAAGACTCAAGCTTCTGATATAAGAACTTGCTATTTGACAAAAAATGCTAGGAAAACTGGAAAATAGTATGGCAGAAGCTAGGCATAGATCAGTATTTCATACCCTCTACCAAGATAATGTTGAAACAGGTACATGATTTAGACATAAAGGGTGATGCCATGAGCAAATTAGGAGAGTAAGGAATAGTTTACCTGTCAGATCTATGGAGAAGGGAAGAATTTATGACCAAACAAGAGACAGAGAACTGCAAAATAGATAATTTTGATTATATTCAATTAAAAAGCTTTTGAATTAATAAAACCAGTACAATCAAGATTAGAAGGAAACCAGAAAGCTGAGAAATAATCTTTAGAGCCAGTGTTTCTGATAAAGGCCTCA